AAATCTTATAAGCATCATTTTTACTAGCTCAAGCAGATTTTTCCTACAAGATTTTAAAAGATTACATGCCAGGTGTAGAATACTTCATAAAGCAGAATAGGATTTTTGACTCGTGTGAATTTTTTAAAAAAATAATAGCAACCAGCAAATTACAGTCATTAGTACAACACTGCCTTCGCAGCAGATTTATGCCAGCATTACCGAAAGCAGAATTTCACCCAACAACACTTCTGGGTAATACAGACATCTGCAGAACTGAGTGAAAAAAAGCACATAAACATGCACAACCACATATTTTGTGCATTACCATCTCAGACTTTTACAAGAACAGGTATTTTGTGCCACTGTTTTGCAAGAAAGTACCCCACGCATGCCCATGAGTACGCTTTCCAGCTCGCAGCAACCTCCAGTCCTACCTCATATTCTTTTAAATCCATCACCTTCGCACTCCTAAATGCTGCTTTGGCAGAGGGGTTGCACTGCGAGGAAGAAAACTCCCCCCACACCTCTGTTATCACGCCGCATGAAATCCTCCCTCTGCCCCAGCAACCTCCGAGCAAAAAAAAAAAATAAAAAAATAAAAAAATCCAAGTTTATCACACCAAGGAAAGAACAATAAGTGGGAGTCCGAAAAGGCAGTCAGAAGTGCCGCCAAAAAATCGGAGCTCCTTCTCAAAAAAAGGCCCTCCCTTAGGAAGCCTGCCAGTCAAACCTGATCACGAGGCTGTTTTCCGAGGGTGAATAGAGTTCTTATTGACACAGCTTATGTCTGCAGCGTGCAGCCCTCCGCAAGGCTTTCAAGAGCAGATCGGATTACACAGACACATTCTCTCTGATTTTATGCATTCAGAAGCCCTCAGACATAAAATACCCAGCTCTGAAGGCCACCGGTTTTTCAGCTCGCTATCAGCCTACGTGCTTTTACAAAAAAAAAAAAAAAACAAAACACCAAAAAACGCAGGCAAAGAGATCCTGGCACCTTTACTTGGGCTCCAGAGGACCTCACCCTTGCTGAACAGGGCCATATAATTTGGAGGCCAAGCCACAGATTTGCTCCATGTGAGTAATACAAGACGACTCATTCCCATGGTGGGTACTTAGCACTGGAACAGGAGAAGGGAAAAAATAAGTATCTGCTGACACCATTTAAAATGGGGGAAGATAACATCGCTCTGGGTAGACAATCCTTCCTGGACGATGGCATGGAAAAAGGGGAGGATACACACCTTTTAAAAGAACAACACACACTGCCACAGCTTAGCAGGCAAGAGGTGCCCAACTGCAAAAGCATCGCAAGCACAAACTCAGGTAAACCAGGGTCAGCAATTTGCACACACACAGGAACCTACAGAAAACAAACTAAAAGTATCAATTTATACTGTTTCTATACTTAGGGGGTACAGTGAGGAACTCCATTCCAGGAGCAGACACATGTACTAAGTCTGGGGTACCTGTGATGCCACATTAAAGGTGAACAGAGAATTACAAAATGTTATCTTATTACAAATGCTCCGTCTTAAAAACTGTGCTTCAGCAAGAGAGACAAGTCTGTGCTTAAATCATATGACAAATTAGGACCTGAGCATTGCCCTAGAGAAGGATGCATGCACTGCCCAGAGGTCTGGACTACACCAATTAAAAACAAACTCACAAAAAACTCAGTCCAACAAGCAAACCAGTGCATTACACATGGGTAACTAGTTCCCTATCACCTAAAAGGGAACAACTCCTGCATCAACTCGTCCACACTGAATTGAAACTTCTCACTGAGATAGCAAACACAGCAAATCAAGCAAGCTTGAGCTTCAGAGCTTTTAAGGGATTTTAAGAGCAAACACACACTGTTCAATAAAGACATCCTTTCCCCCCTGCTTGCAGGCTGTGATCACTCCCCAACCGTTTCTATCATGTTGCAAACAATTTTTTCGTCACATTTTTCCTGCTGGGTGCTTGGAGGCTGGACCTGGGTAACCCAAATGCAGGATGCTATGTCTGTCTGCGATAGCAGTTCTCCTTTGGTTGGATGTTTGCACTCTTCTTTTCAGAGCACAGCAAGAGAGCCACAGCTCCTATGACTACCTTTGGAAACCGAGATCTAAGCAAACTCCCGCTTTTCAGCGCGCAGCCTTCCTCTCAATGAGCAGCCTTGTGTTTCTAGTACTCATTTTAGTTTCCACACATGACTTCTAGTATGTTCATGGTCAGAAAAGCCTGCTCCTATGAAGGCTGCGTACTCTTTCCCAACATGTCTGAGTCACACAATGGTTTGCTCCATTGCCAAAGCCAAGCTCTCACGACTGGCACAGCAGGGGTGTCCTGCTACAGGCATCAGTCACCAAATCCTGACTGCAGATTCATCATCATCACCTGTGCCTGCATTAGCCACAAAGAAAATCTTCATTTGCTTTCAGGCTCCTGACTAAGCTGCAGGCACTGGTGACTAGAAAAGCCGTGGTTCGAATTGTGCATAAAGAAAGACCCATTTGCAAGACACTAGCAATGCAGTTTTGCCATCAGTTTAACTCGGCATAAGCCAGTGCTGCTAATAAAAGCAGCAGTCCTGCCTGTGCACCCCAGGTCCTTGCGCCAACACAATAGTTTCTGTGGCCACATGGAGAAGCGAACCAAAGAAACAGCGATGGCTAAAATGAGCATCACTTACTTTCTTGTTGTTCTGCAAGGTTATTCTTAATCCACAAGGATGGTGAAGAGACTGGAGGAAAGGGCTGGAAGCAGGACCACTTTTTCCACCACAGCACCAGCTTCAAAACTGATTTGCAAGCTACACTGCAAAAGGTAAGAAAGCCAACCTCCCCTTCTTTGCAGTCAGAAGTTTCCAAGTCCCACTTTGAGATTCCCTTAAACATGCAGAACAGCCTCTCAAAACCTCACTTCTTGTGGCAGTGCAAGTGCAAAACTCTAAGGTCCGTGTATTCATCTTGCTAAGATGGGGCAAGCCCAGGAGAAAACTTCTAGGTCTGTAAAAATCTAAGAATAAGATTTAAGCCTCATGCCAGCCATTCTCCAACAGAGAAGGAGGAGGCAGAGCAGGCCACTACTGCTTGTGAAGTGGAACTGGGCACAAAACCCATCAGAAAATCCTCTATGTGGATGCAACACCCCAGCACCTCAGAAGGACAACTGCCCAGCATACCTACTTGTCAGTAACCTTCCTGCGGCACATGGGCCAGCACTGGGAGGGACGAATGGCAGCCCCAGATCTGCTTGCTCTTTCTCCATGAGGATCCCTCACTCTCCCACAGTGGTGACACCCTGACTTCTCCAGACCTGGCCAGATGCTGCAGGAGGCTGACCAGCACAGAGGTTACAGCACCAAGGGGCTTGTTTCCTCACTGACCACCAGGTCTACTTTGGGCCCCTGCCAGTATATCCCAAACCACCTGGAGGATAGCACCAGACCTGCAACAGACATACAGCTGTATACAGGCTGAACCAGGTGCATACGTAAAACTCAGCTGCTTCTGGGAAGGCTGACTACACCCGAGAGAAGACTGCACCTTCTCCTGCTATAAGCGTATCCCATAATACCTAGAAGCTTCTGCACAGTCCATTGTCTTTCAAAGAGAAACACTCAAACACTGAAATAGCTCTCAAACTTTTCTGGGCCATCACTACTTTAAAATGACTTCATTTAAATATGTACCATGTCTATATATATATATATATATACACACACACACACGCCAAGGGAAATTAGCATCCGTGAGAAGGGCTGGTGCCCACACACCGTAACTCTGCACAGCCTCCCAGGTCTGCCTGTGCATGACTGTACCCCCACAGCTCCACACTAGTACAACCCTACAGCAAACCAGAACCACTCGAGAGCCCCTTGAGGATCCTGCCCCATTGGCAGGAGCACTGGAAAGACCACAGCTTGCAGGCTCTCCACCAGACCACTTGCTAACACACATCTTTTTGGGGGTATAGAGAATGGTGGGGGCAGGGAAGTTTTAAGACCAAATTAGACAGTCCTTTAGATCCTTCAGTTCTGCCCAAAGCTGAACCTTTAAGTCCTTCCTTCAGGAGCTTCCCCCGCCCCAGGGCTGAGATACATGATTTGGACCTTCATTAGTAAATAAAGCTCCAAGGAGCAGGACTGTGCCACGTAAGGCGTTCCTCCAACCTGAGAGCAGCACCATTGCAGCCTCCACGTACTACCTTAAAAGCAAAATACCCACAAGGAGGACCCATAGGGGGAAAATATCTCTGCAACCTCATGGAAGCTGCCGTATGGAAACTTTAACTGCATTACTTCTGCTTCTGCATAATCCCAGAAGAACTAGCTTAATTCAGACTGCTCCAACTCAAGACACTCGATAGTTTCAACATGGTATAGACTATTACCTCGCTCTAATTACAGGATCACATTACATGTCCAACAACTGCTGCAATTTAGTCTTGCCTGATACATCCCAGCTCAAAATTGCTCATCCCACCTCTCACTCCAAAGGAGTAGCCTCAAAAGGATACTTTTGGCATCCTTTGAATAAAGGCAGGAATACCTAGCAACACTTCAGCATCTGACACGCGTGCACCCCAAGCCCCCAAAAGGTAAAGTCATTATTTCCTTGCAGTAACAAAGGCGACAACTTTTACCAGTGCGGAACAAACTAGTTTCAGGCAAATAGCACAGACACAACACTACTGCTCACACGGTTGTCTGTGCAAACACGCTACAGAATTACTGCTAATAACCACCACTGCACAATACCACGAATTTGCATGTCGCTCCCCAAGCCAGGTGTTGATCTTGCACAGAGCCTATCCGTGCAAGAAAGGAGTTTTCAGAGAAACAAGAGCTACAGGATCAGGCCCTCAGAGTTTCACTACCTCAAAGGCAGGGGACGTTCCTTACTGCATCGCACATCTTGCCTTTTAGCTCAAAACCGCATCCGCAGCTCCCGCTGCCATGAAAGGGAAAGGTTTTCTCCCTTCAACCGTTCGCCCGCGTCTGAGCCGAATGCTAACAGGTCTCTTACTTGCGTCTCGCCTTGCCACCGCCTCATGCTCTACAGGGGAATATTTTGTTCCCCGAGCGGACGAGCTGTCCGGCCATCGCTCCACGATGATTCAGCAAGGGGGTGGCTCCCCGTCGGAAGGCACACCTACTGCGAACTGTCATACCACGGGGCTGGGTGAAAATGGGAGAAGTTGCTCTATCTATCATGGCTGCACTTTCTGAAATGCGTAGACCTGGCCTGGTAGGGTCGAGGGGGGCAAAGGCGGAGGGGGAGGGGGGCTCCATCAGCAGGCACATGGAAATAATTTAAGGAACTATCTCGAGGCTTTTAACTATGGCACAAGTAAATGAGGCAAAAAAAAAAAAAAAGCCAGACACTTTCAGAGCCAGCATCAACTTCGCCAGGCTGTGTTCTTTGTTTCTAGGCAGACTCCAGTGCGGTGGCAAGAATGAACAAATGCGCATGTCTTCATACGAATCCAATAAAAAAAAAAAAAAAAAGAAAAAGGAAAAAAAAAATCCCCCCTCCCCTCAGGCCCCTCTCTCATTGCTGTAGCAGTAGGGGAGTCCTCCAGATAGTTTGTGCTGCTTTTTCAGAAGTAAAAGTCCGCTTCCACCCTCCTCTGAGCAGGCATTTCGCTACGCTACGAGGCGTTCGCGGGTTAAGACAGCGCCTGGAACACTTTCGGCTGCAAAAATTAGTTTTGGTGCGGGTTTTTGTAATTTTTTTTTTTTTTTCTTACGAACGAAACGACACCCTAGCAACGCACCGCGACGCGCCAGCCGCCCTCCGCAGAC